TTCTGAAACTCCACATATGTCTACTTTTTCTCTTATAAGCACTCGTTCTAAGCTATGTAGTTTTCCTGGTTCTAACAAACCTCTAACGTTCCATGTGTCTGTACGGTATTTTGTACGTACTTTTATTTTTGGGTTTCCAGTCACCAATTTCGCAGATGTAGCCTTTAAATTTTTACTTCTCATTTAATGTCTATATTTTGTTAAATATTTTTCATGTTATTTTTTTAATTTAAACCTGCTTAGAGTAAGTATATGACGACTAGAAACGAACTGATCAATAGTAGTGAATCGATGTCAAGAACCGCTATTCTAGGTTGCTACCCGTGACGACGCCATCTTGTGGCGCTAGTTACATGACCCTCGCCTCAGTATTTTACTGTAGAAAAATAAAGTAATACAATGCCAATATAGAAGCTTCGCTTCGATAAATATAAATAAAGGCAAATATCGAGCATAATTTTAATAATCAAATCTTGCCCAAGTACTTTCGCTTTCAACAGCATCATCAGGGGCATTTCGTCAAATTTGGGCTATCCAGCAAACGCAGAATGTAATAAACATGAACTTGGACATAAATTGTACATAACACTACACTAACACAAGGACAAACAGTTTAAAATTATTTAAAAAATATTCTACGCTGTAAATTCTTGTCGGCAACAGGAGAGAGAATGGTCCACTCTCTCAACCATTCTCTCTCCTGTTGCCGACAAGAATGTAGAGCGTAGAATAATTTTTAAATAATTTTAAACTGTTTGTCCTTGTTTTAGTGTAGCGTTATGTACAATTTATGTTCAATTTCATGTTTATTACATTTTTTGCTTACTGGATAGCCCAAATTTGACTAAATGCCCCTGATGAGGCTGTAGAAGGCGAAAGTACTTAGGGAAGATTTGATTATTAAAATTGTGCTCGATATTTGCCTTTAATTTTTCAAAGTTCATTTATTCGAGCATTCAACCTTATATCTAAATATTAAATATTTTAAGATTGCATTTGTCAAGGACTATATCGTGTCATGTAGATGGGTTACGTACACACGCGGATAATATTTGACTTAACAATGTACACACAGATCTTTTAAGTAACAATGAAACTGGCAATGTATAAAACTTGGTATGCGATTATTATTGATTTAATTAATGGTTTAAGCTTTTGGAAGTTTACCTACCTACTTATTTATATAAATATCGTTATCTTTAGTTATATGTTTTCAAACAATTGAATTTACTTGTATTTTGGTTCACAATTAATAATATATTACAAAAAAATAGCTTGAGAAAACTATTTTTGGTATGTATAAACACACTTTTTTTTATATAGTCACGGATCAAACTCCTAAAAATATAAGAAAACGAGATCATCTCAATGCAATTATTGGCTATAAAATTATGAGACCAATTACATCAAGCAATTTATGTATTATAACAGATGTGATGCCGATGGCCAATACAAAAAAGCCAAAATTGATGAACATATTATCAGAAGTCAATTAAAATGTATAAAAGTATTTCAGCTATTTTGATATTATAGCTTTTAGATATCATTTAGAGATTAATAATACTAAAAATAGACGTATTTCTGTAAGTTGAGGTGAAGTAGATTGAGTCAAATTTTTCAAAATCATGTCTAGTACTTATGTTGTAACCATTGAACGACCCATTAGAAATAGTGGATGCCAATGAGTAACAATATAACTCTCAAAGTTGGGAACCCATGTAAAACAATAAAACTCACAACTTTGTTTGGGAGCCAATTGTTGGGCCTCGTCCTGCTCAGTCTCTAAGGTGTGAGAACGTCATATGTTATAAGTGTATATGTTATAAGTAAATATGAAAAATAAGTTTGGCCGAGACTAATAAACTAAGATATTAACTTCTTCTTATAGTGCTGCCATATACCTATAGTGCGTTGGCGAATTATCTTAAGGCCAGGCGTCTGTCTTTTGCGACATGTAAAAGATCGCTAGTGTTATTTATGTCTGTCTAGTTCTTTATGTTCCGTAGCCACGACATTTGTTTGCGACCTACTCCTCTCTTGCCTTCAATCTTTCTCTGGATGATTAGTTGAGGGATTGCGTATTTTTTCCTCTCGGAATATGGCCGAGGTATCCAATTTTTCGTACCTTAATCAAATTGAGTAGTTCTCTCTCAGTATTTGCCTTTCTGAAGACTTCCTCGTCTCTCACCCTATCTGTCCATGGTATGCGGAACATTTTTCGCAACGTCCACATTTCGAAGGCCTCCAACTTATTAATGGAAGGTACTCTTAACGTCCATGTTTCCATGCCGTATAACAAGATGGACCATACATAGCATTTAACCATCCTGTAGCGGAGATTGAAGGAAAGATTGCGGTTTAAATTTGATAAAAGCTTGTCTTGCTTGTTCGGTACGGCATTTTGTTTCTTGTTGAGGATCCCATTGGTCCATTAGACAATATTAGATATTAACTGATCATATTTATTATACATAAATAAATATAAACATTGAAATTTTAATATTAAATTAAAATCAATGTCAATATTACCTATAGCTTTGCATAATAAGATTTCTAAATAATACTTATGGCTTTTAATATTGACTTGTAGTTAGACAAGATTGCAGATTATAGTAATTAGTTGCTGATGTAGCTGAATCTAGATACTTTCATGTTTTTATTTTCAGGTAGCCATTGGATTCTAAATAGCAGCTGCAGTTATTATTGCATGGTCGATCATGTACTGTGGAATTCTTCACCCAAAAAGGTCGACAAAAGTTAGGCCTAGAAAAATTAACCTTGTATTGTGTTAGTAACTTCATAGACTTTAAAATATTTTCTTGCCATAGGAAAACTGGCAATAGCCAAGGCATAAGGGATTAAAAGAAATTTACTTCTCATCGGTCCCACTCACTCTTCCAGGTAGTCGTTCCTCCTTCGTTTACTCACTCACTCCAACTCTCTTCTTGTCTTAATTCATTCTGTGCTGGCTAATATGATTGCCTACTCTGCGTTTTTTACACGTATCGCTTTTCATACATCTGTTATAAACTGGTCGTACTGCAGTAAATTAGCTTTTTGTACATCTTCCATTTATTCGGGATACTCATTCCAAAATCCTGGTACTCTGTACCGGCTTGTACGGGTCTCGTGCATGGGTACCATATGTATTTAGAGTCACTTGGCAGTCTCCGAAAAGTGTTTACTGCCTGCGATTTAGTGCCTCGCAGTCATGCAAAATATGTTTGACTGTTTCAGGTTATCTACTACATACTACTTTATTACATAGTCTTCATGAGATAAATCCATTGTACAGGTCTCCCTACAAGATATGGTTGACTGTTTTAGGTTGTCTGCTACAAAGTCTGCATCTTACGTCTCAATGGAACAACCACATTGTTAACCCAGTTAGTTCCCAATAAAAGTTTCTTCGCATGAGACTGTTATGTCTGCCAATCTGTTGAGTTCTTTTTTGCATTCCCACTAGCCTAGTGTTTACCTTAGAGCTTCTAAGAGCCCCCTAGAGCTTCACTATCTGTGCATATATTGATCTGCTTTAGTTGGAAATCCCTCGCATTAATTTCTCTTGCACAGTGCTAGATTGCACAAATCTCTGCCCTAAATAGAGTTATATTCTCTTAGGGAAATCGAAATGTTTATATTTACACCACTACTGAGTATTTTTATATACAATTATTCTTCTGCGGTTCCAGACCCCTTTTGTACTAAGTATAATCTTTCAGTCTCTGTTGTGAGTTTCCTCGGACCGATCCCTCTAGTGATTAGTTACCCACGTGGAAAGGTACTTTAGGTCTCTATCTACATTGTGGTCACTGAAGTTATCATCCATTCGGTATATTTTGTTAACGTGCTGTCTTGATGATAATGATGATTCTGTTAACTCACACCATCTGGGGACAATACTACAATCTGCAAAAAAAATCTTAGTAAAAGATGTACCTAATTCATCATTAACCAAAGGACACTGTATTACTACAATATATTAAAAACTCTTTACAATGCGATACCAGTTCATATGTTTCTCAAAATAATATCTTTGCGATACTTGTTAAGACGATAATAATTTATGGATTTTATGGTTTCCCAAGTATCCGTTATATTCTTTATAGACTAAGACTATTCATAATACACGAGATAACTGGTTATACTTCATTATCTATACCTATGTTGGGTCTGCTTCCCTAATTATACCTCCCCAGACCTGTATACATTGGGTCATAGCAATATCATTCCGTTCACAGAAATATTCTGCCTAAAGCCCCAAGTCTTCTTTGAAGTTCCTCTTCTACTCCTTTCAGGGACTGGCAACTCGGTAATTGTTCCTATTGGGGATTCATATTTCGATGTTGAACATGCGTTAACCATTCTAAACTATGCTCTCTCATTTTAGTATCAATAGTGCTACATCTAGACTTCTCTTATTATTGTTTGCTATATTATTCTTTTTTGCCACTCCATTCTTTTTGCCACTCCATTTGTTGCTCCTCTTTTTTTAACTCTCCAACATTCAGTTCCATACTTCATAGCTGATCGTATGCATCTCCATCTATTTGCCGATTAACTTGTAATACCGAACCAAGGTACCTAATACTATTACTTTTCACAATCGTTTTACCATTCAAAGTTATCGTATCTTTAGATACTCTGTTTTTGTCCTATTAAGTTTTAGACCTTTTTCTTCAAGAACTTCACTGTTCCAGGTTTTTTTTTTTAAATCCCAATAGTATTTCTTACTAACACTACATTGTTAGCATACATTAAGTATCTTGCATTGTATCTAATGCTGATCCAAAACCAATGAGAATGAACACTGAGCTCTGATGTAATCCTACTTTCACATGAAATCAGTCTCTCATATGTCAGCGAAAATTATACGAATCTTATATAATGAAGAATAACTAGTTATGTTTAATATGTAAGAAAAAACCGATAATTTATTTAAATTTTTTAGAAACTTGTTTTCTTTATTAAATTTTGACATCACAATTTTTCATTTTCAGAAAAACTTCAGTGGTGGGGATAACTCCTTTAGATTACGATCATATGGCCTTATTAGGTAATACTTTAGAATCAATCGCTTGGAATAAAGCAGGAATTATGAAGGCAGGATGTTCAGCATTTACAGTAAAGCAACCTTCGAACGCATTAAAAGTTTTTGAAGAACGAAGTGTAGAGAAAAATGTACGAAATGAAAAATAATAAGTAACGTTATTTAACTCAAATTTACCACTATAAATATCTGTTGGTTAAGGCTTGATTTATTCTAATTCTTGTTTTATTTTCAGTGTTCTCTAACTGTCGTGGAGAGTGATTACTATAGTGGAACTAATTCGAACATACCATTGCACGTTCGACAAACTAATGCGAGTTTAGCTTTGGCCTTGTCAGAAGCTTTTATAAACAAAGGTTAGATAATCTTCAAAACTATTTTGGTAATTGAAAATTAAATTTTGTTTAACGGTACCAAAATTATGTCATAATATGTTCTAAGTACCCAACTGATATTTTGAATATATATCAGCTCAATCATTAGCTCAAACTAGAGGGCCAAGGCTTCAATGGTTTTCTTCCATTTCTTTGTATCTTGTGCTGGGTTTCTCCAGTTTTGTACTCCTAACAATCCCAAGTCTCATTTGACGATTCCATCCATTTTCTTCGTGGTGTCGTCCTCTTTTCCTTTTTGTGCCAGCTTCAGTATTTATTAATGCTTTGGATACTTCCTTTTCTCATTCTAGTTACATGTCCGAGCCATCTTAGTCTTTGAACTTTCGCAATATTTAAGATTTTTTATTGTCCATATATTTGCATTATTTCACTATTTGTTCTTCTCCAGATATGCCCATCTTTTATACCTCCATATATTCTTCTGAGTATCTTTCGCTCCCATTCGGTGTATTATTTCTTCTAGTGCCTGCTATATTTAGTAGCTAAGATATTGTTCTTCATCGGTGTTAGGTATAGTTTTAAAATATCTGGCCGATCTGCCCAGTTTTTCGTCTATTCCTTCTACTTAATGTCAGTCCTGATCTCTATCACACTTCGCTGGGATTTTATATTGACTTTGTTCTCTTTTTATTTCTAGGTAGAAGTTCGTGACTTTGTTATTTACAAAATCTTCTTTAATACTATTAATTTTTTCTTCCATATATAACCTTTTACTTTGTTCTGCATATTTTCCACCCTTCTCTTTTCAGTATATAGTTCACTATTGTTCAAATTATTCTTCCTTATGCTATTGATTCTGGCTCTATTCTATGGCTATTCTTGTCCCATTGTCCCATCGGCCCTTTTGGGTCAAAAACTTTTCCGACTGTACTTTCCTCTTGTCTGTTTACATGTCCTATCCATCTAAGGCGTGCTATCTTAATGAATTTTACATCAGGTTCCCCGAGAATCTTCCAGATATGGAGGTTTTTTGGAGATGTATTAAATCGACCGTTTACGACAAAGATCTCCAGAGGGAAAAGAATTATCGCTTAAAAAAGTAAAACACAAAATGTTTGTGCTAAGATTATGACTCATGCTTGTAAACGCAAGACAAGCATTTTATAATGAAATACCAAGTCTGACGTCACGATGAGCGGAGCATAGAAAACCTTTCCAAACAATTCTATTTTGTGTGTATTTGTTCCATAAGAAGTTGGTAATATTGTTTTTTTTTTAAATTTTTTGAAGAGTAGATAAGGACTTTTGAATATGAACATTCATTCTGTGCGATTGCCATTATTTGTTGTTCGTGAATTTGTGAGTTAATAATATCAAATTATTAAAATTCTTCTTCAAGTTCCACTCCTATCGGAGATTGGAAATCATTCTGGCAATTATAATTTTATTGGTTACTCGCCTGAATAGTTCAATTGAACTGCATCCAAACCACTCACGGAGATTGCGTAGCCACGAGATTTTACGTCTTCCTACGCTTCTTCTACCTTTGATTTTACCCTGCATTATATTCCTTAGTAGTTCGTACTTTTCACCTCTCATGATGTGCCCCAAGTATTCCAATTTCCTGATCTTTATGGAATTTAAAACTTCGCATTGTTTTCCTAGTTGTTCGAGAACTTGTTCGTTTGTTTTGCGATCCATCCATGATATTTTCAAAATGCGTCGGTAACACAACATTTCGAATGCTTCTAGGTTTTTAATGTTGGATTTTTTAAGTGTCCAAGCTTCAACTCCATACAAAAGGGTAGAGAAAATATAACATCGAAGCATTCTTATCCGGAGCGATATATTGATATCGCGATTACAAAAAAGTTTTCTCATTCTATTAAAAGTTGACCGCGCAATTTCAATGCGGCATCTAATTTCTTTTGTCTGATCAGTATCTTCTGTGATCCATGCTCCAAGGTATTTGTACGAAGATATTTGTTCAATTTCTGTATTGTCTAGTACTAGCTTAACTTTGATGTTTTGTGCTTTTGTAAATACCATGAACTTGGTTTTCTTCAAATTGATTTTTAGTCCATAATCGTTGCAATATATATTTAGTTGTTCAGCAAGGTGTTGCAGTTCTTCTAGTGTTTCTGCCAAAAGGACGGTGTCGTCAGCATATCTTATGTTATTAAGTGGCTCACCGTTTATTATAATGCCCTCACTGATTTCGGCAAGCGCTAATTCTGAGACGGCTTCACTGTATAAATTGAATAACAAGGGTGATAAAATACACCCTTGGCGGACCCCACGGCGAATCTGGATATCCTTGGTCACTTCGTTTTCAACTTTCACTTTTGCTGTTTGATTCCAATAGAGGTTACAGATGATTCTAATGTCTCTACTGTCTATGTTTTTATTTAATAAAATTTCTTTAAGTCGATTATGTTGCACTCTGTCAAATGCCTTCTCAAAATCAATGAAACAGGCATATACTTCCTGATTAATATCTAAGCATCTCTGCGAAAGAACACTTATTGCAAACAGTGCATCTCGTGTTCCCAGTCCTTTCCTAAATCCCATTTGTGTAATACTTATGCCTTCATCTAATTTCTTATGTATTCTATTGTGAATTACTTTTAAAAACAATTTCAAGACATGACTCATTAAGGCTATGGTGCGATGTTCATTGCACTCCTTTGCATTGGCTTTTTTGGGAAGCAGTATGAATGTTGATTGGAGCCATTCTTTAGGTATTATACCTGTTATATATATGGTATTGAATAGATCCAAAAGAAGATCAATAGATTCAGTATTCACAATTTTAAGTAATTCGATAGGAACTTCATCAGGCCCGGGAGATTTACCATCTTTAGCTTGTTTCATTGCATATTCAATTTCTTCTCGTATAATGTCAGGCCCAGTATCATCCTTAAATTCTTTTGGTGCTTAAATTCTTTTTTTCTTTCTATTATTAAAATATTTACTCTTAATGTTCATGTTCTAAGGTTCTGTTATTGTTTGATTAAAACTTTAATTATTTTTTTACTGTATGTCAAGGTATTTTGTTATTTTTATCAAGGGTATTATTACAAAATAAATCAATAAATCGTTGAATATATTTACGAAGTTAAAAAATATTTAAAATTAAACTCTTAATTAAACTTTTGCAAAACTCGAGAAATCGGCCATGGTTTCTTCTTGTTTTATTTCGAAACACACAGGAAAATGTGTGAGCTCCTTTATTTTCATGCAGTTTTCGAAGAGATCAAGTTTTTTGCGAGATGTATCAATTTGACCAACCAACTGTGATACTGTCTTATTTTTCCCCTGGAGTTGTATGTTTAATGTGTTCAAGTGAGAGGTAATGTCTATTAGAAATGCCAGTTCACGAAGAAATGTTTTGGTTTTAAGCTTGTTATAAATACGTCCGTGTTAATAACAATTTCCGATTTAAAAAACAGTAAGATCTCTTTTCTTAAAGAAAAAAAATTCTAAGGCATTTACCTGCACTCAACCATCGTATCGCTGAATGCATGGGGGACGTCCTTATATTCAGTATTTAATTCCTCCAAGAGAGAGATGAATTTTCGGTGTTGCTGAGCTCTGTTTCCTCCTACCGTTATGCATCCCATCATTGCTTTTGCTCCGTCGGTGCAAACGCAAGAGCACTTTTGAAAACCGCCTATATTTTTCACATCGTCACTAACTGCTTCAAATATATTTATACCTTTGGTCCCGTCTTCCATGTGGTGCAGTTCTAGAAGTTCTTCAGTTACACAAAAATCTTAACTGATGCATCTAACAAAAATTAAAGCTGATTTTTGTCAGTAATCAACAATCAACAATCAACAATCACGAAGTGTGTCAAACCATTTTTTTTAAATACATGAGTATTCAGCTCATCAACTCTTCTAGATACAGTTTGATGGAAACTGAAACACATTCGAAATTATTGGCCATCTTTTCGTTTCCAAAGGATCACGTTATTTTAACGGCACACCTCTTGATCATTTCTCCATCTCTAAATGCTTTTTTACTTTTGACAATCTCTAAGTGACAGCGCCCACCAAACTGGCATGGTAAGTGGCAAGTAGCAAGTAGCATGCGTCTAGCATATTATTTAAAATGCAACCAATGCAAACGAATGATTAGAATGAATGACGTCATTGTCATTTTGGCGTGCGCTGAATCATTCGTTTTCATTGTTCACATTTTAAGTAACATGCTAGACGCGTGCTACTTGCTACTTGCCATTTACCATGCCAGTTTGGTGGGCGCTCTCCCTAAACATACTTTATATGATACTGCTAAGCTTGATGATTGAACAGCTGTCGGTTTTGTAAATAGAGATTTTTGTTTATTCAATTTAGCTTTAAGTTCTTTTACAAGAGTATTGCAAGCTTCACCTTGATATTTGTCGTATTTTGTTTTGTACTGGGTTTCATAATGCCTACTAATATTGTATTCTTTTGATACCGCGAGTACTTGGCAACAAATAATGCATTGAGGTTTGCCATTTAATTCGATGAAGAAATATTGATTTTTCCATTTTCCTTTGAACATACGATTCTCTTCGAAAATTTTGGTACTTTCTTAAGATTACGGAAAGTTAGACCGGGTTGGAACAGGAAAAAGTTATCAATGGCAATATTTTTGTAATGTGTTTGCAGAGGCCACAGTTCAACTCAGCTATCGAGCCTCGGGCCGAATGTGGCCCGCGTGCCTGATGTTGGACCACACTGTGTTATATATTAGGTTTACGATTTATTTGTGTGTTTTAGATACCAATAACAATTTTAAGAAATTCGATTTGGATTTAGCGAAAAGATCAATTGAGGAAACATATTGGCCTGGGCGGTATGAAATAAGAAACTTCCAAAAAAATACGTAAGGTTCCTTATTTTTATTAGTTTATACCTTTTAATTTAATTTACCAGGTCACTTTTGTAATATTGTGGTGGTTCATAATATAAATGCAAATAAGTTTTTTTTTTAAACACAATTTTAACCCTTAACTGGTGACGTGCCACAGTTGTCACGCAATTGGTAACGTGCCATCAAAGTGACACCGCCATAAAATTAATATTAAGAAATTACGAATGTTATTATTTTTTTAATTACTAACGCTTAAATAAATCTCGTAAAGTGTCATTCTTTTGTTTTCAATTTTTGTGTCATTTTTTTTTGTTTAATAAAACTCCAACAGGAATCTTATGACTATTGCTATCTGATCATTCACTATGATCAATAAGCAAGATAGTTCTATATATAAATATTACAAGAAACTTATCTAAGGTTATATTCAGCAATATTCCTTAGGCTCTAATACATTATAGTACTACTAGCTAACGTGTACACTTTAGCCGCACTTTACTCTGCTTTTTCACTTTCACTCACTTATAGCACTAAATCAAACGGCTTCGATCTCTTTAATCTTCTTATCTGGTTCAGGTGGTTGGAGAGCCTTTGTTCATGACTCTCGGCAAACTTACTTATTGTCTGGATAACTGTATCCATCTGGAGGTCTCGATGAAGATCACAGTTTCTAAAGTACCATGGAGCGTCAACGATGTTCCTTAATACTTTATTCTGATATCGTTGTATATGTTGGATGTTGCTTTCTTTTGTACAGCCCCATAGCTGTATTCCATATGTCCATATCGGTTTAAGGACTTGCTTATATAATAGCAATTTGTTGTAAATAGACAAAGTGTATTTTTTTCCCATCAACCAGTACATCTTTCTGAACTTAATTTCTAATTCCTCCTTTTTTTTCTGAACATGTGCTTTCCAACGTAGCTTTAAATCTAACGTCATACCCAAATATTTTGCCGTATTTGCATAAGGTATTTGGTTTCTATTTATATGTACTGGGATATGTTGTTCTCTTTTGTTAGTAAAATTGACATGAACAGATTTTGTTTCATTCAATTTGATACGCCATCGGCTGGTCCAGATGTTAATTTGTTCAACAGAGTTCTGTAGCATGGTAGCTGCATCCTCGTGGTTTTGTCCTACTGCTAGAATGCATGTGTCGTCTACAAATGTCGCAATTGTGTTAGGTTCTAATGATGGAATATCGCTGGTATAGAGCAGGTATAGCACTGGCCCCAGGACACTTCCTTGTGGAACTCCAGCTTTAACTTCTCTTAATTCTGAATATGCTTCCTCATATTTAACTCGGAAGTATCTGTCGGTTATATATGATTCTAGTAGTTCAGAATATTGTTTTGGTAAGTAGCATCTCATTTTATGATATAGTCCGTCATGCCGCACCTTGTCAAAAGCCTGCGCTACATCGAGGAAAATTGCGAAACAAACTTTTCCTTCTTCTAGAGCTTTTTCTATGATATCTCTTATTCTATGCACCTGATTTATCGTTGAGTGGCTTGCTCTAAACCCAAACTGATAATTAGGAATTAAATTTTTTTCCTCTATAATCGGTTTTAGTCTCTTCAAGAGTAATTTTTTGTATAATTTAGACATGACAGGTAACAGTGAAATATGCCTATATGAAGAAGCTTCTTGTGGAGGTTTTCCTGGTTTTAGTGTCATAATTTCTGCCACCTTCCATATCTTTGGTACGTACCTCAACCTAAAGGAAGCGTTTATAAGATGTGTTAATTTTATAATAGCTTTCCTTGGAAGTTGCTTTAACACTTCCCCAGTAATTAGATCAAATCCAAGAGCTTTCTTTGGATTTATATTTTCTTTTATTTCCAAATATACTTCTTTTGGACTTATAAGGCTAATCTCCATTTCGTCTTGATCAGGGAGCTCCCAGTTTATTCTTTCTTGTTCTTCATTTGGTTGAAAAGTATTTTCTAGGTGTTCAGCAAACCTGTTGGCCTTTTATATATTGCTTCTTGCCCAGCTACCATTAGTATTTCTAATTGGTGGATACTGTAAGATTGGCCTTTTTAATCGCTTAGTAGCCTTCCACAAAGAGTAATCAGTAGCGCTATCATTTGATAGTTCACTTAGGTAAATGTTAACAGATTCGTTTTTAATTTTTTGTATTTCTCATTTTAATTTTTGTGTGGTATTATTTAATCTAGTTTTATTAACTGGTGCTCTAGACTGATGCCACTTGCGTCTTAGTTTTCTTTTTTCGGTTATCATTTCTCTGATTTAGAGGGGTAAACTTAGCCAAAAATAGGTATAGAATAAATACAAGCATACGCTACTTAGCGTAGACTGTAACAATTATTACAATTTTTTTAAACAGTCTAAACAAGTTGGTCTCTTGCATTCAACACACGCATAAGCAGTTCTTTTTTTATCCTTGGCGGACAGATAAGGCAGGTTTTTCTATTTGGCAACTTCTCGTTTACTGTTTCGACAACCGGAACGGGAACGTGAAGTATCCTATAAATATTCATTGGAATATCTCTAGGAATTCGTGTGTTGACTAGTCTTCTGGTAAGCAGTGGTGTTACTAAATCATGTGCTAAACTTTTGATAAATTAGAATCGAGTTATTTTCTCTTCAGAATTTGCCGAACAATACACAATATATGCATTTGTAGAAGCTATGTCGACAACTCTGTAAAATATTGACATTGGCCACCTACGTGTACGGCGACTGCTCGAATATTTGTCGCGTTATAAAATGCAATAATTTCAGGCTTTCCAGAATCACCGTCAATACTTTCACTGTGGTGCATCGATGAAACAAGTATAACCGCCTTGTTTCGCTTTGACACATGAGAAAAAAGCGTTAGTTCTTTAGTAAACCCGTAAAGAGATTCGTCAAATTTTCTGGAAATCGTTGGAAGGAACGCCGGTGGAATTTCCTTTTTATTTTTTTTTTCAAGGTACGTCAAACTTTTTATCTTTAGGATGTCCACTAGTTCTATAGAGGAAAACCAGTTATCGGCGGTAATGTTCATGTTTGTCTTATAAATAGGCTTGCATAATCGGAGAACATATTGAGTTGAAACATTTAGTTTTTTTTCTTGATTATCCAGACCTACCCCATCGGTGTTTTTTCCTCCATATATATATATATATATTTATATATATATATATATATATATATATATATATATATATATATATATATATATATATATATATATATATATATATATAGGCATTGAACAAATAACTGGTTCAGGCATCACTTAGACACATTACTTTAATTCCATATTTTGCAGGCTTCTGTGGCATGTAGATCTTGAATTTACATCTCCCTCTAAATCCAATAAGCATTTCATCGATGCATCCAGTGGTACCAATGGAGTATATCTCCTGACTGTTCTGTATAAATATTCAAAAAACATCAGAAATAGCAGCACATGGATCAGTCTTCTTTCTTTCATCTCATGCAAAAGGATTGTCAAATCTCAGAGCGCTTAAAATGGTCAAGAAACTTTTCTTCGACATTACGGAATGGAAGATATCTCGGCCAGTTCCGTCTGTAGCAAAGAATGAGTCGACATCTTCGTGATTCGATTTAAATATTTATTAATATAACAGCAATCCTAAGAAAGTTCTAAACTCAACTGTGTTTACATCAGCTAATTCTGACCTGTTATCATTTGCATACTTGCTCCTTAGAGCAGATAATTTCTGATTGGTCCACTCTAGTATTATAGTAACTATATCTTCAGATAATAATCTTTCAAATATGTACTTACGATTATTTTCGGGTAAACGAATTGCACTGGGAATCTTGGATATGTTATGTACAGCACTCCGTACATTTTTTGCTGGAGGAACGCTTGACCACTTAAATCTATTTTTACCATAAAAATATTTTTTATCGTTATTATCTTCATCCTCGCTTTCAGGTGTAGTACTTGATTCTTCAGAAGGTAATAAAACTTCATTGCTGTTGTTATCGCCTTCTTGTTCACTATCTGTTTCGTGCTCAGTAGGTATAAAATTTTCATCCAATATGCTATCGTCAGAATCATTAAGGCCACTGTCACATTGGATATAACATTGTAATGAAATATTACTAAAATCCGCATCACTCACTTTTAATTTCTTGCGTGAACTGGCCATTTTTATATTGCACAATTTATTGAAATATTTACGTGAATTGTGATGTGCCGTCAATTTGACGTATTGTGATTTTCTACATTTGGTAATTCAAAATATATCGTTTGAAAACGCAACAAATTTCTGCTATGTACTTTCGATGAATAAACTGCAAGTAAAGGTACTGAGAGTTTTGACTGTACAAATTTAGAGTAGTGGGGATCCAGAATTAACGCGCAGTTGTGATACGTCATTTTGACGGCACGTCACGAGTTAAGGCTTATCCTCGAAAATTGTAACGGTAAAATTCAGAGAGATATCTATTTCAAAAATATCTTTCTTTACAACAACAAAATCCATTCACGAAGAATATTATAAACGTCATCTTGTACTAGACGTTAGCTTTATACCTACCTTATACAACCCCCTATTGTGTAAAGTCTTGGGTCTATACAATAAACGAGTAGCCGGCCTTCTATTCAGTGCGGTTTTGAAATAATGTTGAATACAAACATTCATGAAATTAAAATGAAAGAATTTACGTCTATTAGTAGAAGTGCGATTTATAAAATTAGTACTTGAAGCATAAATCGCGGGAGGAATATGTGCATCAGTTTTCAAATATTTATTATTTACTATATAATTTCTAAATTGAACCATTTTCACTTCTTTAGTTAACAATGTATCTGTTTTGACAACTAAATAGGTAATTAGACAAAATAATTATTAATTTCAAAACAGGAGTTTAAAGAATTAGAAAGACGTAGCCCGGGCCCAGTTAAATGGTCAAGCTTATTCCAGTGGAAGCAATAAGGAGGATTATTTTTCGTTTTGGCACAGCTGACATGCTCTCTAGCACTACAACCCATGAAACTGTGGTAAAAAGCATGCTTTATTTATACGGTTGTGAAACACGACGATTAACAGAGACAGATTAATATCGAAGAAAGATATCTCGTCGAACTTAATGCATTAAAGTATGAGAATAGAAGGTACAGTCATGGATGGCATACAACGAAAGCAGCTCAAATGGGTACAGGTCCAATAAATGAAAGACGGTAGACTCCTAAAACAAGTATCTGTATGAACACCTACCGTAATCCAGAAGAGAGGATTACCTTAGAAAACACGGATGGAAGGAATAAGAAACTTAATGAGCTCGAAAGAACTTAAAGAACAATGGAACAACCGAATTGAATGAAAAATGAACGTCGGAAGACATTTTATTTTAGGTACATTTTTTGGACTAAAAATAAATTTGAAGAAAACCAAGTTCATGGTATTTACAAAAGCACAAAGCTTCAAAGTTAAACTAGTACTAGATAATACAGAAATTGAACAAATATCTTTGTACAAATACATTGGAGCATGGATCACAGAAGATACTGATTAGACAAAAGAAATAAGATGCCGCATTGGAATTGCACGGTCAACTTTTAATAGAATGAGAAAACTTTTTTGTAATCGAGATATCAATATATCGTTTCGGATAAGAATGCTTTGATGTTATATTTTCTTTACCCTTATATATGGGATTTAAGCTTGGTCACTTAAAAAATCCAACATTAAAAACCTAGAAGCATTCGAAATGTGCTGCTACCGACGTGTTTTGAAAATATCATGGATGGATCGCAAAACAACCGAACAAGTTCTCAAACAACTAGGAAAACAATGCGAAGTTTTAAATTCCATAAAAATCAGGAAATTAGAATACTTGGGGCACATCATACATCACACATCAAGACGTAAAATCTAGTGGTTACGCAATCTCCGTGAATGGTTTGGATGCAATTCAACTGAACTATTCAGGCGCATATCCAACAAAATGATAATTGCCAGAATGATTTTCAATCTCCGATAGGAGTGGAACTTGAAGAAGAATAACTACATTATTATTATATCATATTATATATATTTATATAATATATGATATACACGATATTGAAAGAGGTTACAACATAGACAATCAACAAAATCTACATCGACAACTACACAGTGAACGTGAACACCCAACAATAATAGAAGTGTCAAATGCCGTCCTAAAGACAATAAAGCCACAGGAATCGATTAAATCTGTTTTTTTTGCAGTAACCCAAAAACTAATAGTACTTATATGGCGAAATGAATTTGTACCAGAAGAGTGGCTAAATGAAATAATATACGTTGCATAAAAAGGACGATTAACTGGATTGTAAGAACTATAGAGGCATTACTCTGTTAGCATCTTCACCTGTTAGCACCCTGCTTGGCAGGGTCACATATCAGATCAATTTACGGTTGCAAAAGGCTTAAGACAGGGAGACCCTTTATCCACTACATTATTCAACTTAGTATTAGAAACTGTAATCAGAAAATGCAGCATGAGGATGGAAGAAACGATCATGAAAAATGAGCACCAGTGCTTGGCATTTGCTAATGATCTAACGATCCTAGCAAAAACCGAGTAAGAATTAAGAAGAGTTGTGAAGAAAATCATCGAAGAAGCACAGAAATTTGGATTGGAACTAAATGAAGACAAAACTAAATATATGATCATGGAAGGAACAGAAGGGAAAAAAGAAGACTTTAGTGTGAGGTCAGTAAGTGGTAAAAGCTATAGTTTTAAAAGGGTGGACAAAATTGAATACCTAGGTGTAGTTTTCGATGAAAATGGAAAAGAGAAATGGGAGCTCGTAGCCAGAATAGCAAAAGTGAATAAAAAATTAGGTGGTTTAAGAGCCCTACTGAACTCAAAATACGTTTCTAGACAAGGTAAACTCAGAATATATAAAACAGTAATTCCACCCACAGTAATATATGCCGGTGAGCCTGGACATTAAATAAGAAGGAAGAGGATACTCTGGAAAGATGGTAAAGGAAAATATTGAGATGCATATTCAGAGGACGGAAGGCAGAAGATGGTTGGGAGAGAAGAACCAACAATGAATTAATGGCTTTATACAAAGAACCTACTATTACGAAGTTCGTCAAGGCACAAAGAATCAGATGGTTGGGACATGTGGAAGAATGGCAGCAAACAGAATTCCTAAACTAGTAATAACCAGAAAATTAATCGGCCCCAAAAGAAGAGGTAGACCCAGAACGAGGTGGATTAGTAAAGTGGAGGAAGACCTGAAACACGTGAAGGTGAGGGAATGGAAAAAAAGCACAAAATAGAAGCGAAGGGAAAAATATTGTACACCAGATCCTTCAGAGTAGTTAAGAATGTTATATATACATATTTAAGTTAGAGTTTTGTTTAAAATAATTGTAATTAGTTAATATTAGAATTATGTTGTAAAAAAATGCTCTAGGCCTTAACGGCCTGTTGTGCGTATAAATAAATAAATAAATAAATAATAGAGTGCAAAAATCGAAAGAATCGCGTTTTTTGCATTAATTGTTAATCATTAAAAAACGGTTCCGAACTTTACGCAGGAAACAGGTAGGTTTTCTTCTTATAGGTCTACAATAACTAAAAAAGTTGTCAGCTACCTGGATTATTGAGTGTCACGAGAAAATCCTTATTAGCCTGGACTAATATGGCTGGACAAGCAAGTGAAGAAACAAACTTCATATATTATGTAAACTTTACTAACAAAAACGTTGAAAATAAATATTCCTATAAATATAAATAATCAAATTCCATATTCAAATACAGCAAAATATTTGGATATTGTCCAATAAATATAAATAATCAAATTCCGTATTCAAATACTGCAAAATATTTGAGTATTACTCTAAGCTTTTATGTAAAGAAGAAAAGAAAATAATAATTCTGATTGCAATACAAAAAAATGTACTGGCTGATTGACCAAAATTCTACGCTGTTTCTACATAATAAATTATTATTATATAAGCAAATACTGAAACAATAGTATTATTATAAAATCGTGAACTACCCATTTTAAAAACAATTAACACACTGGTTTGTCAAAAGTCGAAATAAACCCTAATAATGTTATTCAACATTATTTATGACCCACCCTCGAGAGGGTATTATACTTCTTACCTAACCAACCTAACCGTCGGCGAGAATCCAGAAACTATCGACAAGGACAGCCTGTACTGGCCGAGAGAGAAAGTTACATTTAGCAAAATTTGAGATTTTAAAAAAAGTTTATACCAAATAGCTGCTTTGTGTTACACTTTATGTTAAAAATAAAAACAGATTCGGAAAGTGGGTCAAATTCTGTAGTGCCCTATTTAAAAAAAAAATTTACGTTTATTTTAACCAAAAATATTTGAAAAAAAAAAAATTGTTTAAACAATTTATTAATTTACAACCAAATAGTGCACTAGAACTTTTTAAGACCTTTCATATAAAAAAAGAATCATCTCAATATCTGCCATAGTTTTTGCGTTATTTGATATAAACTTTTACATTGGAACTTAGGTATGCCCAGAAACGCAAGGAACGGCCTCTAAGGGTTAAAGAAAATAAAATAGTCTAAATGATGTTTAAGTTCTTTTTGTTACTTTTGCGATATATACAGATTTATTTTTCAGGAAAGTAATAAAACTCATAAACAATTATGTGGATACAAAGTGAAAATATATTTGAATTAAATACTATGTTTATATGAGGTTAAGCCACAATTATTTGTAATAAACATTTCATTTTTAAATATCGTTTGAAGTTTCGATTTCCACTCCGGAAATAATTAAAAAAAAAGGATTATGTTGATTATACATTTTACCGTATTTTTTTTAAAGATAATCCTTTTTTGAACACGACTTACGAAGAGGAAATCATAACGTCAAACGTTATTTAAAAATGTAATTTTCATTACAACAATTTGTTCCATTACAATCAATTTCGTTTCTTTTATTTAACATATTGTAGGTTTTATCTGGATGGTGCACATACACTTGACAGTTGTTGTGTGTGCAGAGATTGGTTTATTGCACACGTTAAGAACAGCAAAAGAAAACGGTGCCTGATATTTAACGTTACCAGAGCCAGAGCTTCAGAAGTTTTTTTTAAGGAACTAACGAAATGTAATTTTGACGTGGTTATTTTCATTCCGAATGTAGGTAGCAGTAATGATAAACCAGGTAATTTTCATTATTATTTTATGCGGGTGGCTTCTTACTTATAATATGTCTAAAAGATTTGTGAAAATTATTAAAAAATAGGGGTAAGCACTAAAAAAAATCATTTTAATAACTTTTAATTGGAGATATCAACAATTGTAAGAACATCAAAACCTAAACTTACATCCGTTTAAATGTATCATTTAAATTTATCACATTCATATACTACTAAATGCATACATTTACTTAGTATAATTATGCTACATATGTGTATACCTGTTTTAGTATTTAAAACAGAGTTAAAGTCGAGTGCTTTCTCTACCCCATTCCTCTCTCTGGCAAATCTACATTTGGAATGGTACTTCAGGCCTATATAGGTACCATATGGTCAGAAATTATTATCCATTCGGAATCCCTAATTTTAGCTATGATGTTACTATGTCCTGATCTAACCTTTACATTGGTCAGGTTTTCTCGGAGTCTATATTTACCTATCTCTATCCCTATTATAACTATGTGTACAGTAATGGGAATGTACAGTAGGGCCTTTTAGCTACCGTTGGTGTGCCCCTCATAAGCACCGCGATTGCGAGGCAAGGAAGTCTTTGCTAATATTTAGTTTGAGGATGACACTTTTTGGCTGCACCTTTGGCCACCATATCACCAATGCATCTGGAATTGTTGGTTTACCACCATCTTATAATTCCAATATAACATGTTTGGTTTTAAACCACACGTTTTTTCATGAGTGTGTCTGGGTAGCATTAACTCAGTTGTCGCTCTCTTGATTATTCGTTCTGTCGGATAATTCTAAGTAAGTCTTGAGTATAATATTATTCCGAGTATAATATTATTCCAAGATACTTTACTTCACTCACCAGATTTAGATATGTACCATTCAGGCTTTGAGGACCCAGTCCCTGTAAATTCCCCCATCTGGTAAATTTCATGATTTTGGACACTTAGAGGTTATGCTAAGCCCTACATTTGAAGTCAATTTTGTAACTACAGTGAGAGCCTGTTGCATTTTATCTCTAACTGTGTCATTGAATTTGCCGTGGGTTAAGATTACTAGGTTATCCGCATAACTCAGGGCATGATTCTTGTCGATATTTAATCTAGCTATCAGCCCATCTATGACCATATTTCACAAGAGACAAATCTCTCTTGCGGACAGTGTTTGTCTACTTGTGGTGACACTGTATCCCCAAGTAACATTGCATTTATGACACGCCTCCTCAACAGACAGTCTATTCATCTGCAGCTTGTTTCGTCTGTTTTCATAAAGAGTCATTCTCGAGACGCATACTGTCCCTGATATATCGGACTTTCAACGAATATAAAATCTTTAATATACATATCGAGCGGTTTTTCTAGAGTCTTCAGTACACATGACATAAGCCTTGTTATTAGCCTTGATGATACCCCAGTATGTGATGGTATATACCCAACTCCTATACCTAACTCCAAATTTACATAATTTTTTTGTACAGGTCATTTCCCTTCTGTAGAAGTATGTGATAAATCCCGTTTGGACCCGGTGATTTATATGGCTCACATAAGTTTATTGATCATTTGATTTTGTCCTGGTTCACCATTTCCTTTGCCCTTTGATTTGGAAGTTTGATATTTCACCAGGTTTCTTTCCTGTTGGATTTCCTCACTACCTTCGGACAGTTGTTTTCGAATGCTGACATGATAACCTCTTGAAATTATTCGGCAGCCATATGTCCATATTTTGTTTTACCAGGACTGCTTGATATACTTACAGTTTGTTTTACGAGGGTTGTGATGTTTCCCTATAGACGCATTACCTGTTATTTCAAAACAGCATCAGCATCTTCTAGAGTTTGTTTTCCTTCATTGCCGGGATATAGCTTTGGCTATATTCTAGCTTTACCATATAGTTGGCATAGCCATTGTTTCCCGGAAACAGTTGCAGCAATAAATTTTTTCGTGGCGTAAAACTTCAGCAATAAATTAGCAATTAGCTCCTTGTGGTTCACTTTTCTAGTTTCATCGCCTTTGGTCCATATCTAGATTTTTCCGGGGGTGAGTTTTGCGCTAGGGGATGATGAAGTAGTTTTTGGGTATTGGTAAATGTACCAATCAACAGCAATTAATTAGCAATATAATATGCCGCCAAGATTCTGTAATCCTTTTCCTTGCTGAGATATAGCTATGGGTATGATAGCTTTACCGTAAAGTTACCATAACCATTTTTTATCGGAAAAGCTACTATTGCTACAACAATAAATTTTCTCTTTCCGTAATAAATTATAGTCTTGGTTTTAACGTTCGCCAAGCATGTCTATTCTGTCAGTCTTCTTCAGATAGATTTCTTGCTGACATTGCTTTTGAAATTCCTTGCATCCATGTTGTTGGTGGTCGTCCTCGTTCTCTTTTCTCTAGTGGTACCCATTGTAATAGTTTTTCGATAGTCTTTCTTCCCCCATTCGTCTAACATGTCCGTACCATGTCAGTTGTTGTTTTTCTATATCTTCTATAATTGATCTTTGTAAATTTATTTAATTCCTTATGTCTTCATTTCTCACATATTCTAATCTAGACTTTCTTCTGCTCTCCTCCAAAAATCCATTTTAAAAGCCAATAGGTTACCTTTAAGTTTTTGTGATAACTGCCATACTTCTGAGCCATAGACGATTACTGGTTTCAATATAGTATTATATATTCTTTTTTTCGTTTCCGGTTTTATATTTTTCTGCCATAGTACTGAATTCAATGCACCTATAACTCGTTTCCCTTTGGTTATTCTTTCTTTTAGGGCTTCATCAGTTCTTCCTGTCTTTGTTAGTTTTACCCTCAAATATATACATTGATCGCATTTCTTAATTTTCCCGTCTTCTAAGTCGAGGTCATCTGCAGTATTTTCTCCACCTATGCAAAGATATTGCGAAATTTACTTCGAGGCCCCATTTTTTGTACTCTTCCATTAGTTTTCTAGCCATATACTCCAGGTCTTCCTTGTCTTGGGTAATAACTACCTGGTCATCTGCATAGTGCAACGTGTATAACGTTTCATCTCCAATAGACAGCCCCATCCCTTTACACTTCTTTTCCAGTGTCTGAGTGCTTCGTCGATATGTATATATATATATATATATATATATATATATATATATATATATATATATATATATATATATATATATATGTAAAAACTACGACCGTCAATTTATATTAATAAAGTATTCAACTAGGGAATTCAGAGGTTTATTCGGTCAGTCAGGTTGGCAAAATAAAAAACAGAAGTCAACTACTTCATAAGTTTATCGAAGACGTTTCGCTTTATATTTCTAAAGCTTCATCAGTTCTCTAAAATACAAAGATGACATAGAGTTTATAAGAAATACAGATCTAATAATTAATTACTTACAACTCAATATGTAGTATTCAAGATGTTATCGTATATGTACTTAAGTTTACTCATAAATTTAGAACTAACTTAAAAAAAAATTAAACAGAAATATGCAAAAAATAACATTCGCAGAAACGAAGATTAATTTCGCCAAATCGCCAAATGTACGTTTGAAGTTTTTGTAAATCTTCGTTTCTGCGAATGTTATTTTTTGCATATTTCTGTTTAATTTTTTTTTAAGTTAGTTCTAAATTTATGAGTAAACTTAAGTACATATACGATAACATCTTGAATACTACATATTGAGTTGTAAGTAATTAATTATTAGATCTGTATTTCTTATAAACTCTATGTCATCTTTGTATTTTAGAGAACTGATGAAGCTTTAGAAATATAAAGCGAAACGTCTTCGATAAACTTATGAAGTAGTTGACTTCTGTTTTTTATTTTGCCAACCTGACTGACCGAATAAACCTCTGAATTCCCTAGTTGAATACTTTATTAATATATATATATATATATATATATATATATATATATATATATATATATATTGAATAGTATGGGAGACATATACGGTGTCATATACTTTTGTTAAATCTACTAAAAGTAAATGCACCTCTCGAGATCTCAGTGTTCTTTTCTCGAGTATTTGGGATAAGCAGAAAATACTATCTATTGTGGATCGTCCTGCTCTGAATCCAAGATTATCAGAATTTAGTTAACAGCAATTTCTGTGTGCTCTGGCACCCATAACAAAGTTACTTTGTTGTGCTTTGACAGTTGCTTAAGTTGCAGTTACAAGTTGTTACGAACTTACAGGTTTTCAACTTCAGTCTTAAGTGCAGCTTGGTTATGAGCAGTACATACGTATATTGACCGAGTTGAGGATTTTCTTCAGAAAGTTATGAAGCAAAAAATCTATTGCTAGTAATTTAGTTTGAAATAATAAAGCAGTATTTTCGACGGCTGTTGATAGAGTCTGGCATTGTTCCAACTCTTAAAATTTCCAGATATCTAGTCAGGTCGCCGGGTTTTAGATGCGAAACCTCTGTTGTCCCAAAAACACCTCTGGGTGATCATACCTACATGTATGTGTAGTACAGTAAGGTCCAGCGTTACTGTTAAGGCTGCATTAGTGATTTCTATGCAAGCGAGACTTTGCACATTTTGTAACTCTATTAATGTATTTTGTTTATTTGTTTTGTTTCTCAAGAGCTGTTAATAAAGTTTGTAACACATCAATATGTTTACATTTGTGTGTATTAACATATCGGAATTAAGCAGGAATATTCAGACAGTGGGATAGATCGTTTCCTAACACTTATCGTAATTTCCAGACTAATACTCATTTTTCTAACATCACATATCATGTTCTCCATACCTAACACGATTACTTAACATTTTCAAAGGGATGCTTTGTTACTCGAGATTTTTAAGCTTAAAATATTCACATAAACTAAAAGTGATATATTATGATGAATATATGACTGAGCTGTTATATACCAATAATACTAATAATAACATTTTATTCTTATATAAAAACCTCGAGTATAATAGCCAATCATAAGGGCATTTTTGTTTTACTTTTAAAGATACAGCTGATTTCGTATGTCCCGCAGAGAAGCAGCTGCTGCAGTGTGAAGCAAACAAAGAACAATGGCTGAATATGGAGGAAACATCAAACAAAAAGGTAGAAAAAGCTGCAGTCTTTCCTTCGTTTGCCCAGGCAGTGGAATTTTTAAACGCATCTGGTACATATGATTGTCTTGTTACGGGTTCTATACATTTAATAGGAGCTGCCATGTCCGTACTGGATCCTACACTTAGCGGAGCATTAGAGGATGATTAGGATATTTGATGGAAGAATCGTGCTGTGGTATTTTGATCGGAAGAGGTCAGTGGCCCTTTACAATATTGTTTGGAAACTGTCATCACATGGCTACAGAAACAAACTGAATGATTTCCTACTTCTTTGTTTCCTACCAGTTTCCTGAACAGTTTCCTACTCCATTGAGGGGTTTAGTCAATTAGGTTAAATTATAGACCTCTTTACATTTGTTTATACTATTTTAATACTAATTTTTGGCTCAAGTATATTATCTATTTTTTAATAAACAGTATTGTTGATGATAAATTGTTATATCAATATTTTTATAATAAAAACTACTTAAAAAAATTATGTTTTGAAGTTTGTAAAATCGAAACCCTTGTACACCAAGATGTAGGATAAAGAACTTCTTTAGATTATAAAAAATCTATATACTCTTTACTACGATAGCTTTGTAGGCATCTCGTTGCAACTTTAATATATGAAATATCTTCGGAAATATAATTTTTTAATCTAATTTTATAGTCTCTAGTAAAAATAAATCTTCCCCAAGCATTTGTGTTCCTTCCAATCACAATATTTCTTTTTCGTCCTGCTAACCTTAAGTCTATCCCAACCTCCAACTTCTCCTCCAATAAAATACTCCTACTAGCTCCTCCTCTTACCTTCTATGTCAGTACATCCATACCAAAATTAAACAGCTAAGGACTCAATGCAAACCAACCGTCACTGAAAAACTTTCAGTGAATCCGACAGCAGTCCTTACTTTGTTGTAGGCTCCCTCATACATATCCTTCACCAGCCTTACATACTTCTCAGGAACCCATTTTTCTCTCATTCACATCCATAGTTCTTGTCTAAGAACTCTGTCGTACCTCTTCTCATAAACCCAAACCGTTCTTCTATCGATGTCTGCCTACTTAACCTTCGCTCTATAGTTCTCTTCCAAAGCTCTTTATAAATTTTCATTGTGTGCAACAATAACCTTAATCCTCTTTAATGCTTACAGTCCTGAATATCCCTTTTATCTTTATACAGTGATACCATCATGCTTTCCCTCCTTGCATTGAGCATCCTTTCTGCCTTATTCTACATCCTATTTAAATCCTGGACAACATCATCTGTCGTTATTCCACGTATAAAATTCTCATTTGGGGTCCCGCATCCTGTCTCTTCTGACGTTCTTCACTTAGCAACTTTCTAACGTACTTATACTATCTTCACTTTATTTCAACATCTGATCTTAACACTCTTCCATCCGTACTCCTAATCTGCCGCACGCATCTCCTCCGGTGGTTTCTTCAACTTTTCATACTACTTTCTTCGGTGGATCTTCTTTACTAGTTGCTACAGCTCATTAAACTGAAAAGTCTTTTGGTAAGTGACCAGTCTTATTTGCGTTGTTTTTTGGTGTTCTGGTAGTTTTAAATCTTTTTGTGCATATGGAAGTCGTATAATATATACTCATACAAATTTTTATATTCATTTACATTTTTACCTTTTAATTTTCTTCGCTCTTCCATCATCTGCAATATTTTAGTTGGCATCCATTTTCGTTTCTTTTATTTTTTCAATTTAAGTTTTTCATGCGAAAATATGGCAATATATGTCTTCACTTCATTTGTCTGTTGTATGCCGATAGTAGTATTTTCAACTATTTTCTCAAATTTTTTATTAAGCTCTGTTTTTACTTTTTCTGGATGTTTTTTTCTTTCAGTAGTTTTATATCTCCTTTGGGCCTCATTTTCTTAAGAACTATTTTTGATGTTTATAGTTACTAACTATGATCCGAGAAGACATCTGATCCTGAATATGTTATTGCTGAGGTGATAGAATCTCGAAACCTTTTGTTTAGGCTTATAAAATCAATTTCGTTTCTTATGATTTTACAAGGAGTATTACCGGGAGCTTTTCATGTATAAAGCCTTCCTGGATTTAATTAAAAAAAAATTGAAAAATTTAAAAAATGTCTTTTGGTAGAATTGGATCAGTGTCTTCTCTTCTGTTTCTTGTGCCAAGACCATAATGTCCCCAAAACATTCTCGACTGTAGCTTGTCCCATTCTGGCGTTAAAATCTCCTTAATAGTTAGTTCATGTTTTTTTTGTCAGTTTAAGAGAGTGTGATAAAAATTTTCTCTTTCTTTTTCAGTAGATTCGGATGTCGGTGCGTAGACCTAAATGTGATTTTTAATAGAGGGAATTGAGTTAATCTTTAATAACACAACTCTGTCAAGATTTTATCTTCATCATAATCAGTAGCTCGACAACACTTTCTGTGTCCTGGCTTGTTCTAGGATTTTCCGCCATTCTGTTCTGTTCCTTGCTTTGTTTTTCCAGTTGGTAATCTTAAGTGTTTTCAGATCTTGTTCCACTTGTTCCATGTATCTAAGTTTGGGTCTTCCCTTTGACCTTCCTCCTACTGGTGTTTGCCTCCTGTTTCAGTCTCCGACATCCGTTCAACATGGCCCATCCAGCACAGACGTCCGATCTTTATGGATGTTATGACCTTGGGTTCATTGTATGCTGTGTGTAGTTCAAAATTATATCTTCTGCGCCATATGTCATTTTTTTCACCCCCTTATATATGTGTCTAAGGATTTTTCGTTCAAACATACCTAATAGGTTCTTATCTCTTTTCGACAGTGTCCATGTCTCTGATCCATATACAAGGACCGGTTTTATCACCGTTTTGTATATTTTGCATTTGCATTTTCTTGTGATGTTCTTAGATCTTAGATGTTTGATTAGTCCATTATATGTTTTATTAGCGACATGTATTCTTCTCTTAACTTCTTCACTGACATTGTTATCTACGGTAACTAGTGAACCTAGATATGTAAAAATTTTCATGCTTTCGATGTTATAAGTCTCCTATTGTCAGATTCTGTAGGTTTCTTTGGCCTGTCGATTTGCTGGCCTTCATGTATTTGGTTTTTATTTCATTAATGTTTAGGCAACTCTTTCGCTTCTGGCTATGCTATCAACATCATCTGCAAATGGCAATATTTGTATACTTTTTGTTATTATTGTTCCTCTGGTGTTGATTTTTGACTCACTAATTATTTTCTCTAATGTGATGTTGGTTAGAATACAGGATAGGACATCTCCCTGTCGTAGGCCCGTTCTCACATGGATTGTATCTGTTAGTGCGTTTTGAATTCGAATTTTGCTGTTTACTTTAAGTGTTTCTTTTACTATATCAATGAGTTGAGTTGGAATATTAAACTCTTTCAGTGCATGGATCAGAAATTCTCGATGGATGCTATCATAGGCACTCTCAAAATCAATGAAAAGATGATGTGTATCTATATTAAATTCACTAGTCTTTTCCCATATTTGCCTCAAGACGAAGATCTGATCTATTGTGGACTTCTGCCTACAGAAACCACATTGATATCCCCCAACTATTTGTTCCGCATATGGTCTCAATCGGTCATACACAATATTTGACAGTATTTTATATGTCACAGTTAGTAGCGTTATTGTCCGGTAGTTTTTACATTGAAGCTGATCTGCCTTTTTATGTAGTGGGATAATTACTTCGGCATTTCAGTCTTGTGACAGTTGTTTATTATTCCATATGTTCACTATTAGTTCGTGTGTGGAACTCAATAGGGAGTCTCCGCCTTTCTTTATTAATTCTGCGCTAATGTTGTCTAATCCAGGTGACTTGTTGTTTTTTAGTCTGGTAACTGCTTCTAGCATTTCAGCTACTACAGGGGGGGTTGTTTCTCTGGTATCTGTTTGATCCAGTATAATTCAATCATATGGTGGATCTTCGTTTTTTTTTTTCAAACTTTTCTTTGAAGAATTCTGTCCCTTTGTAATATTTTACTCTGTTGAGTTACTATATCTGCTTTTTGTCTCTGCACATTATTGTTCTTGGTTTAAATTCTTTTCTACTTTTCTTAAGATTTTGGTAGAATTTTCTGGTGGTTTATTTAGTTCTTCCATTTCTTGGAATCCTTTTTCTATGTGTTCTCTTTTCTTTCTACGATGTATTTTCTTCTCTTCTCCTCTTAGCATTCTATATTTCGCCTTTGCCTTTCTTGTTCTATGTCGTTGTTGTAGTCGTTGATATGCATTATATTTCCTCTCTGTTATGTTACGACACTTCATCGAACCACTGTCCTTCAGTTGATTGGAGCTTTTTTTGTAGACCCAGGGTCTCTTTGTCCGCGTCTTGTATGATGTTTTTACACGCTTCCCATTCTTTGTTTATATCCTCGTGCTTTCGTCAAGATTTTATGCAGAATCATATAAGATGTTGTATTAAAATAACAAATATAATGATGACAACTTCCGGTATGACTGGAAGTGATAGTGAAGTGTATACATTTTATACTTCTAGATCTGTTAGGGTTATGCGAAAGCGTAAATTTTTAGATTTCAAATAAGACTTTTTTCAGAGATAAGCTTATTGTGCTATATCCTTGATTCGTTATAAACGCTAATGGCGAAGAGTACAAGTCAAAACTAGGAATGACTTAGAAAATTCTACAATTTTGTAATAAAAATTATGAAAATGATCTTAGTAGGAGAAGTAAACTAGACCTGTAGACGTTTAAAAATTACGCAGTCGAGTTCCAGTGTTCATCCATCTCTTTCTCTCCGAATACATTTCCTGTCTGTGCCGATGGGCAAAATTTCGAAAGTTATTCCTAGTCTTGATGAGTAATACTATGTAATGGTTAACAAACTCCATTACTGCATCACTTTGCTGCTTCATATTGGCTCAAACATTCTATTTATAGGGAAATATGATATATGTAATAAAACAAATAAATATCTTGTAGAAAGTATATTTGTGCAAAATATATTAAATATTTTTTTGATTTAATTTGATATCGTATAAATAATTTTGGAATACAAACAGTTTAATCTTAATAATAAAAACTATGATTTCGTATTTTCTTTTTTTATTTTTAATCTCGAACTCATAATCTTTCTCTGGAACTAGTGAAACTTTTATTCGATATAGGTAATCAGTTTACATAATTGCAGCATATTCAAATGTGGG